GCCTAAATCAATTCGAGGGGGATGGTTTGCCTGGTTTAGAAAGTGTTTTTATTTTTTGACAAACTTGCCAGAGTGCAAGATACTTTTTCATATTACTGAAAACCAAAAACTTTCTAGATAACAATTGATAAGTGAATTAGGCCGTATTAGATGGCCATATTAGGAGATAATATGACCATACTAGCCGGCCATATTATTTCTATAATTTAGGTACCACTAAAACTTGTTTGTCGGATGTAATTCAATGTTCAGCGCGGTATTAGCAGGGGAAGCAGTTGTTTCAATCTTTGGCAATTGATAACGACAAATGAAGTGGATAGTTTACAACTGATATCAAAATTTTTGGAACATACAGTTGAATACTAGATTGTTCCAGAGTTTATTTTCTAAAATCAGCCTCGACCTTTTTTAAACAGCCTCATTATAAAAATTTTTGGCATTCACCAAAAGTGAAATTGAAAAAAATGTGTTACATTTTACTGATGAAAACGAATCATCCTTTTCTTTCTTTACATTAGCCAACGCTGTACGAAATACATTAATTATACAGTGTTTCAAACATGACTTTCCGTGTCACTGCTATTTATTATCAAGTTGTTAGTCATGCACAGGAAAACATTTCTATTTTTATAAATCGGTAATTGCTTGAATTATTGAAATTATATATTTTTGATGTGAGTCATCTAATTGAGTTCTTGTCATTTCATACCAATCAATATTCCACGATGTTTATACGTTTTCAGATATTTGAAATGCTCCAAGTGTATGTGCAAATCATTTTATTAATTTAATTATTGTTATTTCCGCCAGGCGTCTATCGGTGTCACTTCGCACTAGGTAAACAGCACGGAGTAGGGATGACAACGACGCCGGTCTCCTGCCTCTCTCACACAATAAGCCTTTTCTTTCACTGGATTTGCCAGACATGTTATCGCATAATTTACAACTGAAGGTTGGAACGCTCCGTAATTTGAATCAACCACTGCTGTGCAACGGCACGCGATTAGTCATTGAAAAATAATGAAAAACATTGTCGAAGCCACAGCTTTTCGAATGGCAAGTTTAGAGGTACCTAACGATATATTAATATAACGAATTTCGTTCATACCTACAGATGTGCCAATTCATTTTAAACGTGTGCAATTTCCAATCAGATTGGCATTTGCAATGACTATCAATTAGTTGTCACGCGCAAATAATAACATCTTTTTATCAAAATGGATGTTCTGTACGGGCAGCGTACCGCGCGCTCCGCCCATTTTACGGTCGTCATAATCGCCCTACCGAGAGGACTATTTGTGGATAATTTGAGCCCACCAGTAAACAATCGACCAACACCCGTACGTCAACGAAACGCAAGATCTGCCGAAAACATCGCCGCTATCTGTGAGAGTGTGTTGAAGAATCCGAAGCAGTCAATTTTGCGTCGCTTACAAGAATTCGGCCTTTGACAGACCACAACGTGGCGAATTTTGCGTCGTGACTTGGCCTGCATCCGTACAAAATTTAACTGACCTAGGAACTGAGGCACATTTCTGGATGAATGGGTATAGTATTTCCAATACCAATTGGAACAGCACAGAGAAGGAATTCCCGCCTAGACATAGGCGTCGGCATATTATTTTTCAGTTACTTACTCTTACTATCATAGCAATTGATCACCCCATGAAAAAGTAATCTCAACTGAATTTTTCCACCATGGGTAATTATGAAAAACTTCGAAATGGGATAGTCGAGTAATTTATACCAAATCATTTCCAAGGTTGGTACTTCATTTTTTTGGTATATACCATAAATTGTTCGCCGAATGACATCTTTTGTAGCACCATCAACGTTTGCGAATTTTTTATTCCTTTGTTTTTGTTTCATTGCATGGTCAATGACATCCCCTATTTTAATGACTGTCCGCTTTTAAATCTATTGTTGACAAATTAATTTGCAGGTAGTGGTTCCACTAGTTATTTACCGAAAAATCAATTAGGATAATCATCATTTAACAAACAGAATCCACATCGGACCAAAAAACTCTAGGTATATAAACAGCTAACCCTTGTCTTTATATTCAGTGTCAATTTGGTTCTCCTGATGATGCTAACCTTGTTAGCGAAACGCGCCTCGAGTGTAAAAATGTCAGTTTGGTGTTAGAGTAATTGATCTCTAGAAAGAGTTTTCAAAAATCGGTTTGCAAAACAACTCACTACCTAACCTAACCCCACGAACACACGGCACTGATAAAGAAATTTTGTGAACCGGACAAAAAATTAGTATTCAGTCCAGCTAGCCGAGCCTTTATTCCTCAACTACATTTGATAGCACGTTTACTAACTATCTGGGCGACTAGGGGCCACAGGCAAGAAATGTTTATGACTGTACTCTTATTTTTATTGCCGTTCCAATTGGAAATGGATAGACTATACGTGGAACAAACAAAATTATCGAATTTAGGACGATACAAATCCACATGAGACCCAAGAGCGTCCAATGTGTCCAGAAAATGTCACTGTTTGGTGTGGGTTCTGAGCTGGCGACGTCATCGGTCCATATTTCTTCGAGAACGACGTTGACCAGGCCATCACTGTCATCTGCGAGCACTATAGGTCGAGGATTACCAATTTCTTTTGGCCTGAATTGGAAGATGTAGAAACAAACGACATGTAGTTTCAACTGAACGGCGCTACATGCCACACAGCTTAAAAGCCACATTGGATATTCTGCACTAGCGATTTGAGGGCATGGTCATCTCACATGCAGGTGATGTAAAATGGCCACCGAAATCGTGTGATTTGACCCTGTTAGATTTTTTCTTGTGGGGTCTTATTATGTCGCGGGTGTATGCGAATAAGCCACAAACTCCATCGGTCCGCAAAGCCAATATTACCCATGCTATCGGTCGAATTCAGCCTGGTTTATGCGCCAGATTCATGAAAAATTGGACGTTTAGATACGCTCCACCTAGAGAAGCCATGACATACATCTGAACGATGTTATATTCCACACATAATAGCAGCATTTTATTGATATCCCACACTCACTTTATTTTACTCAAATTTAAAGATAGAAAGCGCTTAATGAAATACCCTATACTTTATTCAAACGTATGATTTACTGTAATTCAACTTTGTTTCAGGCGTTCAAAGAGAAACCTCCAAGCCTCTTGCTTGTTAGCATAACCAATAATGACTCTACCGATCCAACCATTAGGCATCGATAAGCCCTCGTTGCCACTGCGCAACGCGTGCGGCGTGGGTAGGAGAAGGCCGGCCTGTTTGAGTGCAGCGTGGGCCGATCCACCTATCACTAGAAGGGAGAGACGCAGGGCTATTTGTTCATGGTCGGTAGGGTACGGTACGCTGTTTGAGAACGACGAATTGCCATTGACCAGTCAAGATTTGACATCCTTCAAGAAAGGTAAATCACTATTTATGATATTTTTGACAGCAGATGTGTATTTTATAAAAAATAAGATATAGTCTGGCGACACAAGTGTAGAGTTTTTATTCAAATCAAACGATCAACGTGACTTACTTGATTTCATTTAGATTTGAAGCTTTTCCAAAATTATATCAGCTGCCTTCTATTTCGACGGGTGTGAAGTTATCCACATCCACAAAGTACACTGAGAAAAAAATATCGCATTATTATTTTTTCTCTTACCAACTCTGCACACCTACCATTTTTCAATATGATACGCTAATTAGTAAAAAACAGAACCATCCTAGTTTATTAAACTGTCTGAAGGGGTGAAAATAGGGTGGAAATATTTAAAAAAATCGTAACATGAAAAATCGACTTTGTACACCTACAAATTCGCGATATGTTATTCCCAATGATCTACTCGACAGAAAAAACTTCACGTCATAGTTTTCCAGGCCGTCTGAGGGGGTGAACATGGGGTGGAAAGTTGAAAAAATCATATATTTGATAATTGACTTTGTACACCTACAAGATTAAGATATGTCATTCTTGACACCCGATTTGACGAGAAAAACTCAACGTTATAGTTTTCCAGGCCGTCTGAGGGGGTGAAAATGGGGTGGAAACT